GTCACACATTTGATAAAAATGGTTGACACCATAGTACTTTTAAAACACTTGAAATGTGTAAAAATGGATCTGGATCTTGTCTTCAAGGCTTAGTTATTAAGGAGTTGGAGGGGTACCTAGGTAAACCCAGAGACATCATCTCGGAAGACATTTTAGACTGTTGGAGGACGCGTGAGACAAAATATCCGATTTTATCGAAGATGGCCGTGATTTTCTTTTAATGCCTGGAATTTCAGTACCTGCTGAAAGATTATTTTCTAAAGCATCATTAGTAATTAGAAAACATAGAAATAGGTTAAGTGATGAGTCAGCCAGATGGTTACTTTGTATTAATGCTTTGTCAATAGAATAAATATAAAGTAACAGTAATGTCAAAGCTGTTGTGTACATACTGTGAAGTAATTTAATTTGCATCGTATTTTATTTTTTATTTATATAAATTGTATATTGTATAACTCTTTTATTCCATTTCATATATGGTGAGGGTCCATCAATCTCTTTCTAGAGAGATAATGTTATTTAAAATACAGTGTAGTTATTGCCATTAATTTGTTTTTATATGTATGTTTAACCATGTTTAAGCACATGTAAGCTTATTAAATGTAAACGTTTATTAAGAAACTGACGCCCGTGGCCGTGGGACACGGTAGATAGCTCAGTTGGTTAGAGCATCGACACGGATCGCTTAGGTCGTGGGTTCAAACCCCACCCGGTGTCAGTTGATTTTTCAAATTTCTCATTAAATGTTTAGACATTTATTAATATGGTTGGTCTTTATTATGGCTATGTTAATTCAAGCTCAATATGTACCTACTCTGTTAAGTTGTTCTAAGATCTAAAGTAACGTTTAATAAATAGTAATAGGCTAATAGATCATTGCGAGACTTGCGAGACTCTTGCTGCAAGACCAAGACCAAGACCAGGTGTATTGGCGCAAGACCAAGACCAAGACTTGCTAAGTCTCGTCTTGTTCTTGCATTTGTCCACTACAGTGGATGCTTCTATTACTTCAAATATTCTAGATTGCAATGTATGGGAAAATTGGTAAAATTAATGGAGTGAAGAAACAAATTATACCTCTTTTTAAAGACCATATTCTATCATTTACTTTAGTCATACATATCATAGCGATTAAGTAGGAAATTTTTGGGAATACTAAACTTTGAGCAATATCGATAAATGAGAAAAAAATGTTAATTATCCTGACAGATTCACGGAAACTATAAATTGTATCGCTTTCATATTTATAAGACGTTGTTAGCAAATTTGTCAAGGATCATTTCGTACCTCCACACTTTCCGTGTATCCTATCCTGTACGGTTATCTTTAAAAATGGAAAAACTGCGCTTCGAGGCATTGTCTGAGCCGCGGTGGGTGACGCTCACCCGGGAGGGGGAGGGAAAGTGGATAAAGTTTTACTTTACTCTATAACGTACATATGCCGACAGATAACAGTACTCCTTTAATTTGCCAATTTTTTAACTAAAATGATTGAACTGCATGAGCGAGGTGTCATCATGTCGTGCAGCTCAGACGTGTGATATACGCGGCTGAAAATAGGGTGACAAGCGAGCACACAGTCCACCTCATGGTAAGTGGTTGCTGTGGCCCATAGACATCTACATCTATCCTCGTTTGCGAATCAAAATGAAGATGCGTTGTCTGTTTTTGACTGGTGACAACCAGTGAGGACCAAAATGGAATGCCTATTTTCCAGTAAAAAGGGTCTCCGGTTCACTACACTCACCATACGAAACACAGCAGTGTTAAGCTGCTGTTTCACGTTGGTATTCTGTGAGAGCGTGGTCCTTCCCCGTTCGAGCCGACCCATTCGTGCTCAACTATACTATTAATATAGCTGCAGCATGGCTCTACCACGTAAACTGCGCGCCACAGCTAGTATTTCAATAATTATGAAAGATAGGTTTAATATTTTAATTGGAATTATGAAAGTCGGATAACCCGTTTAGAAGATATGAGCAAAATTGTATAAGAGAAATGTGAAAAACCGTATTATTAAAATTGTATGCCCTAGAAACTTTTTAGTTATTGTAATTATATAAAATATGGTAGTTTATATAAAAAAACGGATACATAAGAGAATACTTGTGAGAAAAGTAATACGGTATAGGGGTACAATTGTATTCATCATAAGTCTATTGTCTCCGCTCTTCCCCAAATTGAACAATAATCATAACTCTTCGAGATAGTAAGAAAAGTAAATGACCATGCGCCCTTGCTACCTGATGGTAAGTGACTATACAGTCGCCCATGTATAACTGCAACACCAGAAGAACTGCCGGTCTTTTAAAAAGGAGTACTTAGGCTATTTTTTGAATTCATTTGTCCCTCACATCGGCTTGGAAAGATCGCTGGTAGTAATCGACAATTTGTGCGAGTAAGAAAACTTCTGGCAAATCACACAGTGGTGGATCGCCAAGCATCCAGATGGCATGGATTATATAGAAAATTTGTCATGATGTGCCGCTGTGAAATTTGGCGGCTACAATTAGTCCGAACAATGCCACAGCACTCCTCGTGGTATATGCGATAGAATATGCAAGATCTCTTCGCAGCGCATGTGACTCAAGCCGATTAAAAAGAACATGGTTTCCGACTATTTGGACTGCTCTTCGCTGGATGTGGTTAAGTGGAAGGAGATGACACTGGGGCGCGCCGGCCTAGAGATAGGAACAGTACTCCACGTGAAGAAAAACTTGCGCTTTCTAAAGTTGCAAGCGGTGTCCTGACATGAAATACTGTCCCGATCTCCTAAGCACGTCAGAATGTTTAATGGCCAATTTGGCCTTTCCTTCCAAGTGACCGCGGAAATGAACGTCTAGATGATGGCTGAGGCAACAGGCGGAGGCCTGTTACCTTCTTTTTACCCGGTTATATCCTGATACCTCCTAATCCTGTTCTAAAAAGTGTTAAACTGGATTTAATTTAGACGCTCAATCCTAGACTTTGATAGACATAGCCTTTAGATAATTATAATATGGAATTTGTAGAAGTAGCGTGTGTTTGTGCTCTTCTTAAAATACGTCAGCAAAAATACGTTGAGCATCAACAACAACAGAAAACTACACGTGCAAAACTAGTGAAGGGGCAATTGTCCAGTCCTTTAAAGATTATTCTTCAATGCAGGATTCTCGATTTCAACCATTTTGGCACGAAATTAAAAGCGTGTGTATTTCTAAAAGGTCCTTACAGGCTGACTAACGGGTAACGATACAAAATTACAAATTACTCTGTGCGAATAAAGTAGTAAGGATATGTTTTTGGCCTCCTAACAAACCGGCTTATGCGTGTCCTCTCGTACGAAAATATGGTTGTTTCGCCATCGACCGATCGGTTCGGAATTTTGTGTCTCGTCACAGAATTTAAAATATGTACTTATTTAATTAGTCTAAGTTAGAAGACCTGTCGTTAAAATAGTAATTTAAAAAACCCAACTGCGTAAAAATGATAACTCAAAAGATAACAATTTTGTAGCCTATGTCACTCCCACGATTAAAACGAACCTCATGACATCTTATATTATGTTAACATCCATCAAGTAATTTAGGCTACTGAGCGTGCCCAAGAGATAGACATACATACATATGCACATACTCTCGCAAAACATTAACATCCTTCTGGTGCAGTGGGGTAAAACAAAGGTTTGATTAGGGCTTTAAAATCATTACGGCCTACGATGGTGACACAATGTCACACGAAACAAACTCTTATCATACGCGATATGTTCTCTGTCTTTCCGCTTATTGATAGTATGTAAGATAGTAAAACCACACGTATATATATATATATATATATATATAAGGCCATGCTATATACATATATAGCATGGCCTTCTGACAATGATTTGCCAAGTTAGATAACGAAGAATCTGAGCAATGATCTCTTTTCGATTTAAAATGCAGCTCATTAAAAGTATAATCATGTTCATAATATTACCTACTTGATCATTTTGTATACTAATCTGTAAAATAATTATTGGCGAATCGATATATCTTATCTTATTTACCGTTATTATTTCCAGGGTTCAGTACAGTAAAATATAATGTCATAGCATGTTAGAGTAAGAAAAATACATGAAAGATGTGAAAGGGAGATCCAGATGCAATTTTTGCATAACTTTTGATAAAGAATGTCAAGAAGTTTTTTTTTATAGGAGAGGGGGCAAACGAGCATGCGTCTCACCTGATGGTAAGTGATTATCGGCGCCCATGAACAACTGCAACACCGGGGGAACCAGGGGAATTGCAGATGCGTTGCCGGCCTTTTAAAGAGGAGTAAGCTCTTTTCTTGAAGGTCCCTAAGTCATATCGGTCATAGCGGTAATCGATTACACAGGGAAGTTGTGCGAGGAAAAAAATATTTTCTAAATCGCACAGTGGTGGACCGCCAATCATCCAAATGGTGTGGATGGTATCGGGAGTTCTGCCGCGATTTGCGTTTGTGAAATTTGGCGCTTTTTCTCCACGCTATTTTACTGTTACTATACTACGAATCATTATCTAATTACCTAGATAATACTTTTACATTTATTGTAATTATTTTATAAATTAAAGACAGGCAAATATTTCCTTTTTTTAACACATATTCAGAAGCCTTTCCGTAATACCTTTCTGTAGGATTCATTACATTGATTCAGTGTACTTTTACATAATGTTATTTTTTTTTCAAAACAGGTGTAGGTTTCTTTTAGAACCGTCATCGTTAGGCATGCGGTAAGTTCACTAAGCAAATTTTACATTTTGCGATTCTAAATTTCATCTTCACCTAAGTTTTTGGAAAGCAATATTAAACTTTCCGGTGACTACCGACATGGCTGGATCATGGGTTTTCACTACTGAACCCTAATTAATCCGCTGTTTTATCGAAGAGAGACTTACTGTTCTATACAATTATCGTTGTCTCATAATCATTCTTCATACATGCGTTATTTGCTTCGTGCAAAACCAACACATCGTAATTGATAATAAGAAATTAAAAAGATGTGCGGCATTGTGGGCGGTGTGACAACTACAGTAATGGGAGTAGTGTTGGTGATAGCCAGCACAGTTGTAACCTTTTTTGTAGTTCCTGGCATAATAGATAACCTAATTATAAACGTAAGTAAATAATAATAGATTTGTACGTTGTGTATTTATAATATATTCATATTTTTAATACCTCAAAAATGAGTTTTTAATACATGCAAGGACATAAAAATATTTTTTTCGCATTTCTATGTAATTACTCGATATAATTTACATTATTTTGACAAATTTCTATTGGAAATTAAAATATGAATACATACCCTATATCAACAGTTGAGATCCTTAAACTATTTCCGTAAATTTTAACCTTTTTTTATACTACTTATGGAATGATACATTGAAAAAATATTGCAATCACTCATATTTGCAAGACCTTACTGTTGGTGCAGTAAAGTAGTCACTTCACATAGCCCATTATGCCGGTGATATAGAGTGTAGAGGGACACTTCCCTGCTTCACTTCGCCCTGCATGATCTTGTCGAAATTCTCATCACAATGTTACATGGTCTAGGAGTATATAGGAGTATATATATATATATATATATATATATATATATAGCATACAACTAGGATAGTACATAATTTTTCAAACGTCGTTCTTGGAGGCCGAGGGCCCCCTTTAGCTTGGGGGCCCCGGGGCACTGCCCCGGCTAGCCCCTGAGTAGCTATGCCACTGACCATCTAGGGGTAGTGTTAGCTATTTTCATTAATACTAAGTGTGGTAAATAATATAAGCATACGCGCAATTTCATCTCAAACTTAAATGTCAAGTTTCACTGTAAACTGTTTGTTTCAAAATAATTTAAAATAATTAAAAATTAAAAATTTTGTACCGCCGACTTCAATGTAAGCGACTTCAATATAGGTTATTTAAGAATAACTCAATAACCATTGGTCTGACCTTGATCATATTCATATGGGACCACACGAGAACTATCAGCTTTCATATAAAAAAAGAACCATTGAAATCAGTTTGCCCAGTACAAAGTTATGAGGTAACACACATAAAAAAAAGACATACAGTCGAATTGAGTACCGTCTCCTTTTTGGAAGTCGGCAGAAAACAGAAAAGAAGTATACTTAAAACCCTTTGTGATGTTTTTATTTTAGGAGGTAGTATTGTTAGATGATACGACACAGTTGGATAGATTTATCGATGTTCCAGTTCCTCTAAATTTTACTATTAGACTTTTTAACATATCTAATACAGAAGAAGTGCTTGCTGGAGGCGTACCGGTGGTGTCCGAAGTTGGTCCTTATATTTACAAGTAAATATTGCATATAATTTTTATATCTCTATAGCTGTCTTTATGATATATCTAATAGATTGCCGTAATACATTCTCGTATATAGAAAATGTAGAATACCCAACAGACTGGGTGCAGCGTCAAGTGTTACATTGTAGTATTCCGATTAATATTCCGGCTGAAAAGCGTGCCGATTACGGAAATTCTTTCGTTAAACGGGAAAGGCGAATACAGCACCTGATAAAGATATTAAGATACTCAGAGAAATTAGTAACGGTCAACGAACTTATAAAATCATATTAGTTAAATAGTTGCATCTGTATAATAGTTAATAATTGAATATTAATATTTTTGATTGTGGCTTAATCTCAGTAATAAGTGTAGCGAAAACTAAACTATCAGCCTTGTTATTCAGATCTTTCTAAATAACAGTTGACAGTACGATACGTTCGTGAAAGCTTAAACAAATTTTTATTTTCAGAATTTATCAAATCAGGGAAATAGAGAGCTTAGAAGAGGACACAATCACCTATAGAATACGCGAGCGATTTGAATTCGACCCCATAAGTTCATATCCAAACACTGAGGACGATATAGTGACCATCGTTAATGTGCCCTATCACGTAAGCAAATTGTTTGTGTGCTGACATTTGTAGCCATTTACCTTAAAGTTGTAAATTTATTGTAATAGTCCTTTCTATTAGTTCTGAATGTTTAAAACAAGTCTAGTTAATGGTAGTGCAATTGTGTAACTGTAGTGAGATTTGTGGTTGTTTTTTCTAATGTTTAACGTTTGCTTTCTTTGTATGTGAAATATGTCAGTATCGATCGTAAGCCGGCGTATTTTTTATATAAATATCTTGTTTTATGTTACATAATGTTATTTATTTATTTACAACAAACTATTAAAGTCCACTGCTGAACATAGCCCTCCCCATAGATTACCTCATAGGGAAGATATTTTTCGAAGTTGGTAAGATTGCCAGGCGGGTTGGCAACTGCAGTTTTTTTATCTGTTATTAGGAAGACGCTGCTACCCATCTCCTGGTTTGTTTCTCTCATGTTACACAATATCACTGTAGGTAAGCGGTTACTTAAGTCAGTACCTTTCTTTAAAAAATTGCTAAGGCCTCATACATACTTATTACTAGTCTCCGGTTCTCTATATTCACCAAACGAAACACGTTAGCGTGAAATTGCTGTTTTACGCTGGTATTCTGTAAGAGCGTGATCCTTCCCCGATCGAGCTGACCCATTCGTGCTGCAACTATACTACTAATATAGCCGCAGCATAGTTTTGCCACTTATAAAAAACTTTTGGCTCTCGCCTAAGCTATAGCTGCATCACGCTTGGCAGGCTATATTTGCCACATTTTTCAGGCGGGTTGGCAACCGCAGTTTGTAAACAAGCTTTTGAACGCCACATACGGAGACTTGCTGTTCAAAAACCCATATCAAAGCATATTTGAAATAAAAATGGAATCATTTTCATCCAATAACATTATAAAAATAATGTTTCCGAGCATGTAGTAATTTATATTTAATTACCACTGGTTCGGAAAATTACTCCGTCCTAGGAATTTTCAATAATACAAAACAAATTAGAAATAGCTTGGTAGCGATCACCTCATTCCCAAGGATAAATTTACCATAAATTCCTTAAATATTATAACTACCCTTTTTATACAATTATGATACTTACTGGAGGCCAAACTAGCTTTTGTCTGTTTCTGGTATTTACAGATTTTTTTTTTGTGTACATACCATTTATATTTTTGTGTACATACATTACATTTTTGTAAATGTATTGAGAGGCCAAAGTTAATATATTAATAATTTCCTTAAATTGTTGTCTTAGGGATTCTTAAGGTTTTAAATCACAGATTGCTCTTATGGCCCTATTCTGCTTCTTCTTTGTTATATATATTTAATGGTATGTAAGCACGTGACATCACGTTCTGTTTTTGCATCTATGAATTACATAATCCGCAATATAACAGTTATTATCAGATATCGTCATCGAAGGAACTTAGATTATGCTCTGTTTTTATTATTTAATATAATTTTATAAATTATGATATTCATCGTATGCCGAAATTACGTTAATGTAGTCAAAGAGATTTCTCGTAAATTATATTGACAATTGATTTAATTAATCTGAGTGTTCTTGGAAAATCTGAGCATATCATTCATACGAAAAAAAACTCAGATTCGCAATCATCATCTTCTAATATATATTAATTAATGTTTTGGTTGTTCGTTTTTATGCGCTGCCATACCGTTCATCAGGTTGCGGTAAAATTTTGTCAATTTTTTCTTGGTACTGCTTGCATTTTGCGAAGGTTATAAGCTATATTATATATTATAATTAACTTACAGTAGGTATTATATATATATATATTATAATTAACTTACAGTAGGTGGCGCGCGTATTGTATCGACTGATACAATACGCGCGCCATAAAACTTAAAACAATATTTCCACAATTATTTCTTGTCGCAGCAACCCAGCTAGTTGCTACCAGCTATAAGCGGGTACCAGCTAGTCTCTATCTCTATCTTTATATATAAAAATTACGTGTCACGTTGTTTGTCCGCGATGACTTCTAAACTACTGAATTGATATCAATGAAATTTTGCACACTGTGTGATAGTTTTTATTCCGACCCTTAACATTTTTTATTAGGAATTTAAGGATATTTTGATTGGAAAAAGGGTCATCTCAGAAAAGGGTAGAACAACGTCTGCCTGGTCAGCTAGTATATGTATATATATATATATATATATATATATATATATATATATATATATATATATATATATATATATATATATATATATATATATATATATATCATAATCATTGCTGTGCGTTAGTCTCGCTGAGACTCGAAAAACGGCTCGACCGATTTTGATTAACTTCATTTGTGTGTGTTTGAGTGGGTCCCTGGATGGTTTAGATTCACAATTGGACCCGGTAGGTAGCGCTGTTGTCGAGATCGAGAAATCACCCGTACGAAGCCTGGGCGGATCGCTAGTATTAGACAAATACATAGTAATGAAACTCGCTCCCATTCATTTTTCTTTTTCATCCCTCAATAATCCACTGCTGGACATCATGATATTATGGAGAGGAGTTTTTTTTTTAATAGAATAAGAGTGACGAACCAGCACAGAGTCCACCTGGTGGTAAGTGCTGTAATGTTGCTCCCAATCACCGGTCCGCTTATTTTACATCTAGTGTACCTACACGAGATGGTTATATTATCTACATTATATATTCTATTGAATATATATGAAATCTTTCTTGCATTTTTCATAGTCGCCGTTTATGGCACCACGGAACAAAAAGGCATACTTCAATAAGGAAGGATTTAGCGGATTATGCTCATACTACGAGTATCAACATTTTGGCCCCGTCGTCCGCCTCTTCTTCGTATGATATTACGAAATCATAATCGATTAATTTAATATTGCCAATCTAAATTAAATAAATATGATTCATTGCCTCAATTAAGAAATAGAATTTATTCATGCATTATTTAAGCTAAATAACTTACTTTTTACGCCGAAATAATACATTAAAAATGATACAGGTTTGTTTTTACAATATACGCTCAAATTTACAGACAATGTTCGCAATAAGTAATATAAGCGAATGGTGCAGAAAAATTGATGAAAAAAAAACTAAAATATTAAATCCTTTTTGTCTTTTACATTCAGAATGCGAAACGCCTACTATAATACTATCGCTCGGTCGGCAACAACGTTGTGAATTGAATCTTATAGAGAAGAGTGCGCTTGCGCGTAGTTGTTGGCCATAAAATCACATTCATTTGGGATAATTTGAAATAAAACTAGAAGCCTTTTTACTCGTATTTTCAAAAACTGCAATAACAGTATATAATTGTTTTTATATTTGAACTTAAATATAAAATACGGAAACACGAAAACTAAAATAACGCTGTATATTTATTATTATAATAATAATTTAATGTAATTTTAATACGTATTTGCGTATTAAATATTAAATTAACTAGCTAACTAACAAACAACATTACGAACATTACAGAACAATACAGAACCTTAAGTAGTGCCTTACCTTACCTTAAGTATATGCTTTAAGTACTACGTTCAATTAGTCCTTATAGAGGGTATATTTGTTACATATAGTTGCCACGCTTGGCAAGGGGGTTGCCAACCGCATTTTTTTATCTTCAGTCGTTATTAGGAAGACGCTGCTGCCCATCTTCTGATTTGTTTCCCTCTGTCGCCTCTTACGACACCCACGGGATGATATGGGGAAGTGCATATTCTTACGCCACTACACGGTAAATAGGATATAGTATTACATTAGTATAATAATAATCATATTAAATTAAGCCAAATATCAGGGGAAATAATTCGTGTAGTTTTGTAAATTAGTACTGTTATACCATGAGCTGTACAGATCAACATTCTAAAATAGAGAAAAATCTTTTTATTCACATTGACTTCTTCGTCTTCTCTTTCTAGAAAATTTACAAGTGGTTAGACCGCCTGTACATGATGCTTCAATGTCTTCGTCGGCTCCTTCTATGACATATACTATGTAGGAAAAGAATAGAACAACAGAATAACAGTTTTTGTAGTTCTTGTGACGTAAATATCTTGGTTTCCACTTTCCCTCTTCCTGCCTTGACAAGGAATATTTGCTAGTCTGGTGCTATTAAAAAACAACTAAAAACACATCTTCCCCAACAACAGCGACCACGAGATGGTTTATGGCTTTCTCAATGGCACTTCTTATATTAATTGTACAGTCAGCATCACAAGAGGCCACTTGTGTTTCGATTCCCTCAGCTTGCATTTTTTCTGTCAGAATTTATTTTTTCGCATTTGATAAAAATGCTCTTGTTGACCGTCATAGCAAGGTTGAAAATGTCAACAGACGTTTTCGTTGCTTGACTTCTCTGTTTTGAAGTACTAAGGTACTGTTTTTTGTGTCACCATAGCCATCAAACACGGCAAACAATTGGGTCGGTATTGATTTCTTATATACTTTCTCTATTACAACCTACTCAAAGATTAAAACGCGTATGGTGTAAGTAAATGGAATTTTATTAACAGAAAAATACTGAATTTTTATATTATGTATAGACGTAGGCATATACTTCTCTGACCCAGCATCTGTTTTAGTTTTAATTTTTTTGTTTTATTTATTACGCCTTTGATTGAACTTCTAATATTACGTGTTCAAGGTAAAGACTCTAAATACTCGAATACTTTAGGGGAGATTCATTTGTTTGTGCGTAATTCCTTGATTTTCTTAAAAGTTATACAATGTAATTTTTAATAAAAGATAGATCATAAAATAAAGGAAGCTGTGCCCAAACATACATAAAAAAAAATACAGACGAATAATAATTATGAATCACCTCTTTTCTGAAGTCGTATAAAAATTACCTTAGATCGCGACAGAACCCAATGGCAGCTGACAGCGGATAAAACGATAAACAAAATGTGTGGCTGTTTTTATTTTATTATTTTGATGTACTACAAAATTGTTTTGTGTTTTTATTAAAATAAAATAAAGAAAAATCGTATTAGTTTCTTATTCAAAAGAGGAGTGAACATGATTGCG